GGCCTGGGCTGGATTGGAACCCGCCACCTTAGGTGTATATGACTGGCGCCTTAGCCACATGAGCCACAGTCGCCAAGCCTAATTTTTAAATTTTTTTTTGAAATGGGGGTTTACCTTGCTATGTTGCTGTTTGGTCTTCTACTCCTGATCTCAAGCAATCCTCCCACCTCGACCTCTCAGAGTGCTGAGATCACAGGCATGAGCTATCACACCTGGCTTTTCTGATCTTTCAACCAAGCCTTCTGTGAAGGTCTCAGACGCTCCTATATTTCTTGTCTCGCAGAATCTCATTTTTTTTCAATCTGAAAATAAAAGGGAAATGTTTTTGCCTCAACTTATTTTTCATTTTAACCAAAATAAAAAATAACCGGGAAAATGATAGCTTCAACTATGTTTTTTATTATAAATTGCAGCTTAATTGAAATATACATGTTGTTCTTAAAGTTGTTTTGCTTTTCCTAAAATGATGTATTATATTCCATTCTGATTGTTAACTGATTTAAATAATCAACTTACAATAAAAATAAAACCAAAGTCTTTGGAATAAGCTGGGTATCTGCTTTTTCTTGCCTACAAACTATAGGTAGGGCAAAATTTTAAAAAATTGTTTAATATCTCCTGTGTAATGAGTAAAAGACATAAACAGCAATTTCACAGAGAAGTACAAGTGGCCAATAAAAACACAAAAATGCAAAGGGAAACAAGGAAATATTATCAATCAATATATTAGCTAGATACATATTTTTTAGCCATGTAATTTACCTGAATTTATCAATGACAAAATAATTAAAGTGAAACTGATAGAGTAATTTTTATTTCATAAAAAATGATTGGTCCTAAAAGTCTTTGACAAGAAACAAGATTATGAAAAATATCAAGAAATTAATGTTTTGTAACCACTTGCTCCAACTTCGAACAATATTACTATTTCTTCATATTCCAATGTCATTTATATTTTATTCAATAACCATAATCCCACAATTGATGTCTTTGTTTTGTTTGGATTAAAATCTAATCCCAGGATTTATTTTAGTTTTTGTCTTTACCACTGTGTTTATTGCTGAGTTATTTATTCTGAGACTTTGGTAACTGTCTTGATTGAGTGGGTTTTTGGCACAAGAAGAATTTTTAAGAAGTGTTCATGGGCATTGTATTTTTTTTTTGTTGTTGTTGTTTTTTAGTTTTCGCAGATTTAGGAGTATCAGGCTCTGACTTTTACAAACATCACTTTGGCTCTACAGAAGATCTGGGGTCATGCTTCTGTTCTCAGTCTCGTTTAGATATTGTACATCATCATTTCTGGCCTTGGATGCCATCTCACATCTAAAGCCACTGCCATCATCCCCCTGTTTTTATGTCTAGTTGTAAATATAATTTTTTACCCTTGATGTTTAGCACCGATACCAGAATATACGTTAGTGTTAATCAATCCTTGCCAATTTGTCCTACCATGGGCTCCTACCTGATATCTCCAGCCTCATTTCTCATCATGTCTTTGCAGGGGACATTGTCCGCCTTACCAACCTGTCCTCCTGTGAACTCACTGTGCTGCTTTATATCCTGTGGCTTGGTACAAGCAAGAGAAATTCCCTCATTTCCTACCCCTCCTCTGTCATTTGCTGTTACTATTCTAGCAGATTTAGCTCCGTGTCTCCTTGGCGGGAATTTCTGGAGCACACTCCTCGGTGACCCAGCCACTTCTCCTTTTCACCCACGACATGTTACACATATCCCTAGTAGTACTGCACTTGGTACAAGAAGGTACCATTAGTGTTTAAGGCTCTAATTAGTGAGCTTCAAGGGCAAGGATGCCTAACACATCCACGTAACTACGCAAGCATTTAAAGCCAAAGCCCAGAGTTCTCGTTGGTGAAAAGTCAGGAATATTGGATGCGTAGGATAAGGACAAATGACTGAGCAGCAGTAAACAGAAAAAGTGGTCAATCGGGTAGAATGCAAATTTCTGCTAAGGCGGATGTTCTAAGTTGTTAAGTGCCCGAGACGACCCGAAATTGGGTGAGCAAGCTATCATTAGCTAAGGCTCTGCGACGCAGGTGGCAATTGTGCAGGGGAGTTAGGCGTCCGCTCTCCAGGACCACGACCTCCTCCCTGTGAGGAGGAGCGTACATGGTCCCTTTTTCTCCATTTCCACATTCATCACCACGACCCAACTGCAACTGAAAACTAACCTTTTTGCGCAGCTGTCCCAGGGGAACCGGCGGGGAGAAGGCGGGGCGCTGTGCCACAGAGGCGCTTGTTGTGCGCATGCTCCCTGCGGGGCCGCGGGCGGGGCAGCGCCGTCAGTTTGCGCCTGCGCGCTGGGTCGGCCCGGAACTTCGGCCTCTGCGGTGGTGATTCTACCCCGGGGCTCCGGGCGGAATGGTGCCCACTTGCCAGGTAAGGTGGTGCGCGTACGAGTGGAGCAGTCTGTGCGGTGTGTGCCCCACGTCTTCCCCCCTTCCACCGGGCCCTGTTCAGTCACATCTTCCCCTGACCCCTAACACACGCTCTCCTGGCCACCGTCACGGGTCCCTTCCCGGCTTCCAGGCTTTGCTCTGGCCACCCCAACCAA